AATTTGTCATTTAAATTATCATATCTAATAATATTAAAACTGCATAATCCTGACTTATTTACTGCCAACCTAATGGAAAATATTTTCAGAACTATGCATGGGTAAGAGAAAGCTATTGACAAACTTAAATTTAGTAAGTTGTGTATACAAACCATTAGTCGAAAGTTTACTAAACAACATTTATACGCTTTATTGTCAATTCTATAGTTTATTACACTCGTTTGTTTCGTTATCAACCCTAAAGTTCGTCCGACAGCAGTTACTAGTAGCGTTCTTTTAACATTCGTCGAACTTAATGTAAAATATGGTTTACACTATGATCCTTGTTTATATGACCTACTCTTTAGTTTCAAATTGTTGGAGATCAGCTTATTCATTTTTATAATCCCATATTCAAAAGTATTTAGTTCTGTCGGCAAGAACACAATTTATGGTTGGCATTTGAGGGATGCCAACGTGACTTTGAGAAAAATAACCTACCTACTAGAGTCTGAAGAGGTTTATAAACTAGTGTAAGTGGTTAGAATCGGGATTAGTTCATCACGAATTGACATTAACTATAATGACAAAATGCTATTTATCCATAAGGATGATTGGATTCAAGACTCGCTATTCCAAACCTGATTGTCTCGTCTATAAATTATAGTCTTACTGTTCTATCTTCGAAAAAAATATCTACTGCTACCAGTTTCTACTGACTGATACATACAGTCAGTAAAATTCAAGTCTTAACATAATATCTTCATTTTTCCAGTCAATTAAATGATCTCAATAAACATTTATTTGTGTTAAAATCCTATAAATGAGAACAAGCAGCTTTTATTCCTATTAATAATGACTACGAACTTTATAAGTCTGATACTGAATGAAAAGGTAGTCTTTTAACTACTGCATTTTGAATGGTCGGCTCAACAAAACTACGTAACGTACAGGATGTATAATGTGTGGATATATTGTTGATTGTTATTTTGTTGCTGTAGTAATTATGTCATGTACATCTATTCACCTCAGTTTTTCATCTCAGTATCTATAACAAGATATCTAGCAAGCAAATAATAATGCTATAAGAAAACTGCTAACGGTTTTCTGATTAACGAAATAATTTTCAAGCGTATTCAGTTAATTGATTTATTACCTAGTCGTCACTGTCACTTCTCAAAACTCACCTAGTAAAATATGACATTAACTATTCACAGTGTATCACGGCTTCCTACCATCAATCAATCAATCAGATATAACATATTTTTACATAAGTGATGTAAATGTTTAACTTGACCTTTGTAAATAAACAGAAAGTCATACACAAAAATGAAGTAATTATCAGTAATGTATTTTTAAAATTCTCTTGAATAAGAATGTATTTCTATTTTATGGTAGTGTAATAAAAAGACGATGATTATCAGTACTATGTGGTGATATATTAGCGCAATACAATTCGAACAATCTGTTCACACATATACTTGTTAAGAACATTTATATATAAAAATATTAAAGGTCAAGTGGACTAGAAATGGGGAGGTGGTAAGAAGAAACAAGGATAATAATAACAATAATGTAAAAACAATTTGAAACCTAATCACTCTGGATAATAAGCGAATATTACCAGGGTAGGTTTAAGGTTCTGACCATCTTCGTCTTCATATTACACTATCGAAATTTATCAAAGAGACTAATTGCTTTAAATTTCTATTTTTCCCTGAATTAAAATGCAGTGAAATTAACAAAGTTTATTTTATCAAAAGGGGTTTTGTGAAGATTTAGTATTTTCATAGTTGCAAGCGTGTGTTAATTGAAGCTAGACCACCAAGAAAGTTAAAACCACGTCTGTTGTGAGATAGGAACTCATTGAAGACAATTGATGAACGGTCGCTCAACTTCGTGGATTGGATGGAGTTAGACATTAACACCATCGGATGTCGACCCAATGGTCTATTGGATAAGTGCTTTGGAGCGAGACTGGTAAGTCCTGGGTTCGAATCTTGTGAGGCGAGGTCGTGGATGCGCACTGCTGAGGAGTCACATAATAGGACGAAACGGTCGTTCAGTGCTTCCAGGTTTTCCTTGGTGGTCTAGCTTCAATTGACTCACGCTTGCAACTATGGAAGTTTATTTGTTATGTTGTGTATTACATAATTATATGTAATGTATCTAACCATAAGTGGTATTTCTTTACTCCTTAATAAATGTTTCAATAGACTTGTAAATTGTACGTAAATAATGAAAAAAATCATAATAATTTCTATAATTCCCCTAAAGTGGCCGATATAATAAAAAGACATAAATATAAAAAAATTAAAATGTTACATAATACAAATAAATCTTTACAAAAGGTTGAAAACATTCTAACTGTTTATAATATTGTTAATATTTGACCCAGTGATTAATTTTTTTTCCTATCTCCCACCTCTCTCTCTCTCCCTCTTAATGTTTTTCTCGCTTTTAATGCAATATGTAAACAAATACTTTTATTATAAAAAGAGTATATATATATATATATGGGTGAGTAGTTATCGTTGACTAACATATTTATTTGTGTATAACCCCATTCAAACTGATTTTATCATTGATAAACATTTTATCAACAGATTGAATAAACTTGAAGAAAATCAAACAGAGAGATAATCTATTTATTAAAAAAAATAAACAAATACTTATATGTTTATGTAGACCTAAGAACTGACAAATTCATATATAGAAGGTTTTATTCAAACCGATGACTCTATAGATATTACTTACTGAGATACCTATTTCATATTGTAAGATATTGAAAAACAAATACAGAAAAGAAGATTAACCGGAATTGCCTAAATTAAACTATATTCTTATAAGAATATAACATTTCAAGAATGACATATTCAATTAAAAGGTTGTGCAATATATGTTTATCTTTGAAAAAAAAGAAGATCAATATACCAGTTGATCGACGGGAGTTATTTTGGTTAAATAACTGCATTTGTTTACAATAATTAAACTAATAGGGTAAAATAATGTTGAAGAGTTACCTGTATTACAAAACATGAATGACTATAAAAATAGAGTGGATTTATTTGGAATTTCAGCATAGTCATTTGAACAACGAACGTTAACCCTGTGAATGAAGGTAATAACAAAGTGACCCACACAGAATGCATATATCTCAATCATAGACTAATCAATTTCAATCCTAAACACCGACGGAAAGATCTAAGCAACTAATATGAAAACGAGTTAACAAACGCTAAGTTTTTTCCAATGACGTAGAACATGCTTTTGGTGTTGTTGTTGTTGATTTGTTTGATTTAAAAAAGTCACATGATCAGAAATCAATCTAAGAACACCATTAACAAAGTTGTAAAGAAAACTAAAGACAGTGAAACCCACAATGAATGTCAATCACAAACAAGTCCATCAGAATATACTGATGTACCTGTTGAGGAACAGCTAGGAAAGCTCACTTCTGTATAAGGTAGGCGTTCACAATGCTGCTTTAAACAACAATGTAAGGTAGCTTAAAGAAATTAGTAACACAAAAAGATAAGTTTAATCGGAAACAAACACTAACCTTCCCTTTATATTAATATTAGTAAAGTATCAGATTACATTTTTAATTACTCAACTATTGTTTTCATAAAGGTAATTTCTAATATTCACTGTTCAAATTTATACTATCATAAGATTTATTCTTCTTTTTGTTATCTTTACAATAACAATTAGCCTAATAAAACTGTCGGTGTTAAACTATTGAAACATTCACATGTTTTGGGTATGATATTTATTTTTTTAAAGAAGATTGTAATTAAACATTCACGCTACAAATTTGATTGTTATTATCTATAATAAGTTTACAATTATGAGAGTGAGACTAATGAAAGAACTATTTAAGCTGTAATCGATAAGAAGCCACTTTTGTTTACATACATTTAATACATAAACTAGTTTCTTTAAGTTAGACATTGAATATATAACCGTAGAGCCTATAGGCTCTTCCTTAGCTCCTTAGTTCAAATTCATTAACCAGATCAGAGTTTATTCATAAATGATCATATACTTATGAGTGACAATAATGAGAAGAATCTATATATATGAATACTTATAAAACATTAGAAATATAATTTATCAGGAAATCAAGTGAGACACAATTTCATTTCATGATCACTACGTTGATACAGTTAGTGACGATGAGATAATCTAATGCTATCTGCAGCTTGTACGATTTATATTGGGTTGTGTTTTTTTTCCATGAGGCTAAATAAGTAGAAACCTAAGTGATATGGGTGATTTCCTCCAGAAAATGTTAGAACAAAGCATTCATTAGTTTATTTTAATATACGAAATATGTTAGTGCTTTATTAGAATTTTCTAAAAAATAAATTTAAAACCCAAAGTTTTCATGTAATTGTATACTGATTCAAACAATATAGTCAGTAGGTATCTAGTGTAAATTTGAGAATCGCTTGTCAATACTTGGTTCGTTGTTGATAATTTTGTATTATAACAAGAACTTGATTCATGATATTAGGAACAGGCAAGTGTAGATCTCTAGTATACTTTTGGAGTGTAATATCTATCGTAAACTAAGAGAGATATCTATTCAAAAAATTAGAAATAAATTATTGTTCGAAAATGTCATCAGACGGTGATGACATTGAAAATAACAAAATGAATAATATACTCATTATAGTTCATTTACTAGTTGCTTCATTAAAATAATTTTCAGATTATATGCCTATTTTTAAAATAATTTGAAGTAGCCGATAATATCACAAAATAAATCGATTTATGAGTTCTGACTTAAATTTTCACATTTCCAAAAGTCATGAAATACAGTAAAGTTCATTTCAAACTGGCTACAAAGATTCTGAAATGTTGAGGATATTAATGGTGCGTTAAATATCTCATATTTGTACTGTAATCGAATTTGAATAAATATGATTCTGCAAATACTTGTTACGCGTTCGACACTACATTACATTGTAGTTATGTAAAGACATGTTAATAAAAGTTTACACAATGAAACTCACCAGTCACCAAAAAGCTGTTACTTACGGAAAGTTCTTAATGATTCCTGGTCAAATAAAACATAAGCTGATAAATGTATCAGTCGAGTTGATGTTTCCTTATTAACTGATGGTTGCTTGAGTTCCAGAAATTACTCATTTATATGTATTTTTTTTTATGGAATTGAATACGGTTAGACTGTTTGATACTTAGATGCTACATAGTTTGTGCAATGGAGTTAAATTAAGGAACATATGCTTCAGAAATCAGTTTTGCATATGCTTAAAATTATTTTGTTTCAATGTGAGTTTATGTTTTTTATCGTCTCAGCTCCACATTTACACTGAAAATTAACAAGAACAATGTTTGAAATTATAAGTTCATCGTTTCACTATGATGTTTTGTAAAGATTTGAGGAATGATCGAAATTCATAACGATGTTAATGTACAGTTCAATTTTCTCTTTTCAAAATAAAATCGTTTTTTATATTATCGATATGGTTGGCAAGCCGTTGTTTACGATATTGTGATTATTATTTACTTTATTAATGAAACTGTACAAATAAAATGATTGGTTTACATCAGTTCTATGACCTTTATTCCAAATGAACCAATCACAAAGAAGCATTGGTTTTCCCATTTTAAATGCACATAAAAGTAAAGTTCCTAATCATTCGAAAATGCTGTATGGACACGATTTTGAGATTTGAATAGGTAAACATAATTCCACTAAATTTTAAAAACAACATTAGCTAATTAATTGCAGTCATTCAATGCTAATGTACATTTTAATTTAGAGTTGTTTTTTAGTTTTTCTTTTTTTGTTCATTATCAATGGAACTTAAGTATTCATTTCATTGAATACTTCTACATATCAGAACCGAATGTTATTTTCAGAAAAAATTGTCTGAATAATAAAAAACAATTTAAAAGGTAAACAACATTGGCTATAAATAGTATGTGGATCGCTATCAATGTTTGTTTTAGTAAAATGTCAAATATAGTTAGTAAATAAGTGATTTCGAATTATACTTAAATATTTCTAATGGCTAATTATAACGTCAGCTTATCATATTCAAATAGGATGAGTGAAGCTGAAGCTGAATAGATTAAAATCTCAAGACTAAAATAAAATGTTTATCTGATGAATGAATTTCTTCAAAAATGTCGACCCGAAATACTATTTGAATAAAATAGACCCGTGTCTCTTCTAGTCGGCAACACTATCCATGGCGTTAATCATGGTAGTGATTTGGTTTTTGTAAGTTTTACATTTATGCTTAGAGTTTAGAAGCAAAGATGGATAGTGGCTAGCAGTGGAATACAGGATGCGCGTTTCGTCTATCTTTGCTTATAATGCTTGTGAATTAACGCTATATCGAGGCAATACTCACAGTATGCACATATGCCAATAAGAGACTAATCAATTGCAGTCTTAAACATCAATGGGAAGATTCAAATAAACAATAGTTAGTGAATTAATACTTAGAGTTTGCTTATGCCTGTCACTCATCGTTGGAGGAGCATAGGCCATTCTTTACATCCGTAACTTAAATAAAAATTCAATATTATCTAGTTATAAATTAAATCTAACTAGAACTTCGTATGATCACTTGAGACATTCAAATGCAAAACGTCGTTAGTTTGAAAGTTTCCATTATAAAAGCATAATGAAACAATTGAAACAAATGAGCTCACTAAGTTTTAATCATTCAGTAATGTATCACATCTGTAATACTTCTGTTTATTACTATGTATTACACACTTAATTAATCAGTCATTAAAGAAGTTTTAACTGGTACAGGTTTGTTTGTGTCCGATGGGCGTTAAATATGATGTTATATGATACTTTAGTGTAATATTTTAATCAGTACAACACTCTTTTGTATAATATCTCATTTTTATTATCTAGGTATTATATTTCCTATATTTAATTTGATATGGCCTTTTTTGATTAAGAAAAGTAAATCTGTGTATAAATGAGTTTATTTCATTAGTACTATATGAAAAGATATTTTGTTTATAGATAGTAAGACAAATATTCATTTGTCAATAGTGTTTCCCAACCCATATCAAGTTTCAGTTTTAGTTATATCACATTTCAGCTCATGTTGACCAAAATTATAGATTCTATCCTTAGGTTTTATTGTAAATTGAAACATTTTGAGCACTATATGGTGAAAATAAAACTATTTTTGTTTTGAATTCACTTAGTATTGTTTGTTTGGATCTTCCCATCGATGTGTTTAGGACTGCAACTGGTCAGTCTCTAATTGGCATATGTGCATACTGTGCGTACTGCCTCGATATACCTTAATTCACAAGCATGGTAAGCAGAGATGGATAGTGGCTAGCAGTGGAATCCAGGACGCACGTTTCGTCCTATTTGGAACTCGTCAGCTGGATGTACCTGCATCTCAGAGCTGATGTTCACTCTGGGACTCTGAGATGCAGGTACATCCAGCTGACGAGTCCCAAATAGGACGAAACGTGCGTCCTGGATTCCACTGCTAGCCACTATCCATCTCTGCTTACCATATTTTTGTTTTGTTTTTTATACCGAACTGATAAAGATAAGTTCATTGTTTCAATTAAACACAAACTAGATGATTTGAAGAACAGTGTTTTAATCATCCCAATTAACAGAGTAACTAATGTATAATCCTTATTTTTAATTCGTTCCACGTTAAGTAGTGTAAGATTAATTTCATTTCTTAAAAAATTTTATGAACTTGTACAGGATTACTTCCCTTCCGGAAGCGAAGAAGAGGAAGGCCAAAGAATACATTACGTCGGGAAATAGAAGCAGATATGAAAAGGATGAATAACAACTGGAAAGAACTGGAAAGGATTGCCCAGGACAGAGTTGGATGGAGAATGCTGGTGAGCGGCCCAGGCACCTCCACGAGGGGTAACAGGCGTAAGTTGTTAAGTTAATCAGATATTTGTATTAACTGGACTTTATTATATTATTTAGTGACCGTTGTTCATTATTATCATAAAGAGGCTTGTTTAGTTGATCATAGAGGTTATATTTCATCATTCACAACATCCAAACTGTGACTAAAAATATGATGTACAGTTTCAAATCGTGACATCTTTAGTCGATTTCTATAATAATTAAATAATGTAAATGTGAAGAAATTGGGCTATTTGTTTATATTTTTTGACTCTTGCATACTGGAAATGACTTATATTTTCTCTCAGCATATATGGATTACAATAAGAGTTGATCTATTTCATTTTGAAAAAAGCTTGATGAAACAGATCCCTAAATTGGCTGAGAAATTTAATAATAATTCCGAATTATATCTCTTTTTCCATTACTAAAAATCTTGGGAAAATTAATTTTTCATTAATTAAACTATTTTTTTCATGTTCTATCGATGGCAGATTATCTGAAAAAAAACGAAGAGTACAAACAAACAATCAGTTTAAAGCCCTTAGTTAAATCTATGGTGAATTTGATTTCTGTTGGTGTTTAATATGGACACTTTCAGAAACGTGTAACCTATTTAAGTGATACTTAACATCGGTTTATCCAATTAATGTTAAATGGTTACTAGAAAAAAATACTGTTAAAGCCTTATAATGTTTAGATTATTTTAATAATGAGAAAAAGTTTCTAGAATGATTACATAAGCTTGCATGTTATATCTCATAAATTGACGCAATCCATAAGATTGCTGGTGTTTAAAAACATACATCTTATTGAAGGTTTGTAATAAATGTATTAAGATCTTGGAGAGGATGGATATTTTCTAGTGAGTTAAATATTTTGTATTAGTTTTATCTGATTTTATTTCCATATGGTTAAAGCAATATGTTTTTATAACTGTTACATTGAAAAGTAGTTATTTCTCACGTTTATCATTTAAGTCTGGATATTGTTCAAAAATATTTGTCTGTTTGACGTACGGATTAATTCTACCATTAATAAATGAAGTTAGTAATATGCATAAACGTTTAGTGATTCTGGAATATCTCACTTCAATTTGATCGTGTGATTATTGTTATCCAAATGTACATGTCAGCTATCCTTGTATATAATTATCGACTTCAATCGCGTTAGTGAATTAAAGGAGTTAAATAAATCAAATACGAGAATGAATTTCAAATACGTGTGTTTCACACAATTCTTGGTCTGAACAGACAATCAGGGAGACGGTGAGGAGAAAGGGAAGAGAAACCAAATGATGCGCAGTGGGGAATGTGTGTGAGCCAACTCGATTTAACTAAGGGTGAATCGATATTTAAAGTCAGACAAAAATAGGTTACAGACATGTGATGAGTAAGATAAGAAATGCACACACATACACTTACATAAAAACAGCCAAGGTTTATAAGCAAACAATTGACAAGGTCAAAATGTTGCTGGAGTAGAATGGGTAGATTGGCCTGTCCAGAGTCTAGAATAGCCTGTGTGGGTTAAAAACAGTACAAGCCCCCACAAGCTACGAACCTGATTTTACTGGTTAACAGTTTCGAAACACCTTATTCGTATAATAAGTTTCTACTAATGTTACATGTGGAAACAGTAGTGATTTTATATGAAAACTTTTTACTTTTTAACAAGGATACTATGGTAGTGATATAGTAAGTTGTTTGGGTAATATTAGCTATGACCTTATTGTTGTCTTTGTCGAAAATAAACTAAAAAAAACTATCGTTTAAATTAAACTAGATTTTAGACCACCTTCCAGTTATCGTTGTATTTGCAAAACTAGACAGTTAATAGAATGATGCTTATATTTGAATATTGTTTTGGTATTAATCGATTTAAATTCTTTATATTATCCTTTGGCATTATGACTGAAAAAATAGATCCTATGGAAAAACTCTAAGACATGACCATATTTTGAACAATTTTCCTTGTATGATGTTATGACTTCTTGTTTAACTTCGACAACTATTAACCAGGAAGTAATATTAGTTCGATTGATGTTATTCTACATGAGTACATTCTAAATATTAGCCCATAAACATTACATCAATTCATTATTTTTAAATATACCATTGTCTTATTCACTTATGTATGTATTTTGGCCATTTTAATACAATAATTATAGACTAATAACTGAAATTGTTAATAGCAATTTTTTCCAAAAATACATATTTGTTGAAGTCTTGGCAAATATAACCACCCTCTCTCTAGTAACTTTACCATGTTTACCGTTGTAAAGTTTCAGTCTATCTATTGATCATTTTTTCGAATACTTACAAATTACCACTATGTGAATGAAATATTAAAAGTATTCCGATGAAATTCTCTTGAGAACAAAATCTAATATTAAACTGATACATAGGTTATTACAACACAATTCCCGACCGTTGCTTCTACCTTGACGTGGTGGTCGGGCTTGCCTATCGTGATGAATCAACCGAGCTATACTGTCTGGAACAATCGTTCCTCAAGGTCCTACCATGCCAGGCAGGTTGTTTAAACAGCGGTGAGACTAAAAGCAGCAAACCCAAGGTACGAAGGCGAAGTCGTACTGCTGACTGTACAGAGGTGTGACAGCAGTAAGATGTTTCCTTCAGACAACCAGCATAACAGCGATGCTGCCTTCCCACAAGGAGGAGTGGGGTTAGAAAAGGTCGGCCCTAAAAATGCACACCTCGCCTTATCTCACGGATATCCGTCTCCGGCGGTAAGGTTTTTTGAAGGACGGAGCTAACACAAAAACTACCCACAAAAAGTCGTGTGTGACCGACCTCAAGCAGTTGTCCCTTGGGCACTGCGGTCACTCTCTCAGGTCATTAAGACCACTTCTAACCCAATTTCCTTTTCAGGTACCTCTAGAAGAACCCTTCCACGGTGTAGGCAACCGGGAAGTGATAACTGCCCTCATACCTCTAACAGCACTCAAGACCACTGTATTCATAATCAATCTCCTTCAATTCCCACTATTCTTTCTACCTTGACTTTCAACACTAAACTTCCTCTTTCGGTTTCCTCCTCAAGTGTCACCATGGCCAACGATTCTAGTGCGCGAAACGCTGTCCCAGGTCTACTAAAACCTCGCTCCAAACTACACGTACGTAACCTATGCCAAATCGGTCAACAGGCCTCCTTAGCTAAAACCCTAGAATCTCGTACCATTGATGTATGCTGTGTCTCCGAAACACGCATACAGGATCCCAATGTGGTCATTCACCGGACCTCACCTCGCCAAAATGGACAGCCAACGAAATACACCCTCCGTGTATCTGGCGACCCGTTGGCTAGTTCTCGTGGACTTGCAGGTGTAGGCATAGCACTAAGTACAAGGGCAGAACAGGCACGATTAGAATGGATCCCCGTTAACAGTCGCCTGTGTGCTGTCCGGCTAAATGTCTCCGTAAGAACTCGGAAGGATAGGGACACTCGTCGTTGCCTTTTCGTCGTTTCTGCCTACGCTCCCACTGACTGCAGCCCAAATGAAGTGAAAGATGACTTTTACAAAAAGCCCTCTGAGCTTCTTCAGAAAGCTAAGCGCTCAGACATAGTAGTCGTAGCGGGTGACTTTAATGCCCAGGTAGGCAGCTTAAATCAAACATAAAGACATTTAGGTGGGTGTTTTAGTATCCCGGCTCAACGAACCGATAATGGTGATCGTCTGTTGCAACTATGCTCAGACAATCGTTTATTTTTAGCAAGCACTAATTTTAAACATAAGGAGAGTATATGAAGTGATAATACCGCCAATGAGCGAGGGGTGAATTTGTTGATCGCCCAATGATACAAAATATTGTATGAGCAGTCTGGAGTACTTATCAGTCCTGCTTTCTGCCTAGCCCACCCAGTTAAGTCCAGAACACCAATAACAGCCTCTGCAATATGAATAATTATTCTCGAACATACTGGGTTTATATACCAAACAAACTGACCACATCGTACCATAAAATAAAAAATAATGTTATTTATTGTCGAATCCATTTATAATGCAATCTTTTCTAGCCTCCTATAGACATATATTTTCCATATTACTATATATACGAATGTACAGCTTAAGTAAATGATTTCGTCGAAAAGAAAATTTTCTTCGCTGAATTCTCTTTTTCTTATTCAATGACACTATGAGTTATTTTAGTTATCCAAAAAATAATATTTCTACAAGATTTAGTCCAATGTGTCTGTGAATAGGGTGAACAGTAATTAATAAACTGGGGATAAATCAGGAATGGTAAATGGGTCAAAATAAAGCTTATAATAAGAGGGATACGGATATGAACAATTTAGTTACTTAACAATTATGCAATAGGAAATATACATGTCATATTGGTCCATAAATAGTCCTGGGAGTTACCATTTATAATTCTCCACGGTAAACTAGAAATCAACTGAATATAATAATTTCTTAATTAGGTGGCTTACACTTAATGATAAAGTGTTTGATAAGATTTATAGCTTAAATGAATTGTTATTCCATTATATTACATTCCATAATCTAATATGACATTACCAGTAAATTCTTCAAATACACCATTTAGCTCAAACAAAGTATCATCAAGAGATAGGTATGAAATGAAAATATTTTAACACCTTTTTTAAAAAACAATTTTGTCTAAACTCAAATAAAATTTTGTTTTTTTACTAAAGGATTCTCATTAATGGAGATATTTCTGTTAATGTTACTTTTACACTAGAACAAAAACAAAAGAACAAGGGAACACAAAAATATCCTAATGAGTTTGAATTAACTACCTTAAAATTTTCTACCAAATTTATGTTATGACAAGAAGCCAAAAAAATTATTTTGAAGGGAAGCTGTTTTCATTTTGGTTTAACAGTAAATGACATTTGTTTTGTTGTTGTTGTTTTTTGCCTGTTTGTTTATATGCTATCACCCTCCTTATTATTATTACTTTTTTTAACATTTCATTCGTAAAATGTAATTTTATCTTTCTGGAAATTTATCTGATTATGTATTCTCTTTTATATGTATATATATGTCGTTCAATTTCGTGAACCTGTTGAAGTTAGACACTAATACCGCTGGATGCTGGCTCAGTGGTCTAGAGGTTGAGCGCTTGCGCGGGAAACTGATAGGTCCTAGGTTCGAATCTCGTGAGGCGGGATCATGGATGCTCACTGCTGAGAAGTTCCACAATAGGAAGAAACGGCCGCCCAGTGCTTGCAGGTTTTCCATGGTGGTTTAACTTCAATTAACTCATGATTTCAACTATGCAAATACTGACATCTCCACAAAACACCTTCTGATTAAAATAATTGTAAATCTACTTAACAACTAATGTTTTCTAAAGTTTCGTGACTTTTTCATTATATAAATACGTAGAAATGTTAAACCATTCATTCATCTTTGTTCTTAGTATATACAATTTATCATATTCTTTCAGAATTTCAAAGAAAACAACTATTATCAACTTAATAACGAGAATATAATTTGAAAAATAAACGTTTCTCATCACGCGAAAGTTCTATGGTGTTTTCAAATGAATATAAGAATGTTGTGAAACAATCATTTCTGACAATATATATTTGATTAGTCACAAGCTGAAGTTTGTAATTCCATTATTCTAGTTTATTCAACCTTATCAGTTTATAAATATGTTATCAATCAATAGATTAAGTAAATTTGCTTAGTTCTTGATAATATGAAAATTATTTTCAAATTCTTTTTAATCTTAACCTTCTTTTAAATTCACACATGATGAAGAAGCTCTGGAAGATGTGGACTTTTTTACATTTTCTGCACAAGATACTCAATATCCGTTGGCTGAATACCATCAGCAACAGCCTACTGTGGGAGAGAACAAATCAGCTTCTAACTGAAGAGGAAATTAGGAAAAGAAGTTGGTAGTAGATAGGATATACATTACGGAAATCAGCAAACTACAATACGAATCAAGCCCTCGCTTAGAATCCTGATAGGAAACGGAAAAGAAGAAGACCGAAGAGCAAACTGCACCGGGAACTAGAAGCAGATATCAAAATGATGAATAGCATGTGGAAACAACTGGAAAGGATTGTCTAAGACAGATTTGGATGGAAAATGCTAGTGGGTGTCTTATGACTTTTCACGAGGGGTAATAGGAGTAATTAAATAAGTTCTCTTAAATTGCATTCGATGCTATAAATAATATTATAGCAGTGGTTACAATATATTATAAAACCAGTGATAATTCTGGTGATTACTTATAATGGTAAATACTTGCCAAATTTATTTGTCTAAAGAAAGCGTCTAGCATACATAGAAAAGTCAACTTTTATCCTTGGTCATTCTGTGTTTTTTATCAATAATTAAGGGTTTATTTGTTCAGTACTGTTTTTAAACTAATCACCGTATTAGAAACAAAAAAAGATTATGATAGTTATTTAGTCAGCAGCGCTCACTAAACTAATCGAAGATAATTAAACATTGAATGATAAATTTCTACATTTAGGGGAAATTTATTGGAAGTATATTGCGATCGATTCAAGAAAAAAACATTTAAGTGACCGATGTAGTTTTAGATCAGCTTATTAACTTATTTATTAGAAAATTATGTTAGTCTACCTCTTAGTTTTTAATTTCCTGAGTAAAATTATGTAAAAAAAGAAACTCCTACTTCATTGTTTCAGTAATCAATGATGATAAAAGTCTATGAATAGGAAATATTACGTATTATTTTAATATTTGCATAGTTGAAATCATGAGTCATTTGAAGCTAGACCACCATGGAAAACCTGGAATCACTGGTGGGACTCCTCAGCAGTGCGCATCCATGATCCCGCCTCACAAGATTCGAACTCAGGACCTACCAGGTTTTCCATTTCAGTCTAGCTTCAATTGATTCATGATTTCAACTACGCAAATACTGAAATCTCCACAAAGCCACTTCTGACATTATTTTAAGACAACATTTAACCTAACTTTACTTGTATGTCTACTATTCATTGTACTTGAGAATATTTCTTTCTGTGGTATGCAAGATTTTTACCATATTCAAGAAATTATTTCTCTACATTTGTATAGTTCAGAACTTTTTCTAGTTCTCCTAGTTATCATCATTTTCCTCTGAACATTGTCATGAAACTTATGATATTAATACTTGAAAATTGTCAATCGTTGATTCTTCTGAAGAAACTTTATTCACTTATATCCAGAAAACAGATTTATCCTGTGCTTTTTCCATATATACATGAAAAAAAGAGTAACAGGTGATTAGCTAGTTTGCTAAACAAAGATTACAAAAAAAGGATTAAAATAGGAACAAAAATTAGATGACTAAGTGTTTGACAGTTCGAAGCAAACTGCATATTTGGAAAAATGAATCATAGACCCAATATGGTTATATCTTTTTTAACGCTTTATTGATGATTCCGAAAATCTTGTTAATTAGCCCTTACCCTAGAAAAATACATTTTTCAGGACTGAACAATTACGTTTTATGTTGTCTGTAATTTCTACTGGAAAGGATTGATCAGGACAGAGTTTGATGGAGAATGCTGGTATGCGACCAATTCTCATTCACGAGGTGTAGAGGCATAAGTAAGTAAGTAATTAAGTAATTTCTACTAAACAAAACTTGCAGGTGAATCGTTGTAAAATAGGGAACTAGTCTTGGAAACACTTTACGCTAGTTTAAAATAATCAAAACCACAGCTTTTATAAAGAATGTTTCTTGCAGTATCAATATAATTTTGAAATGATGAAGATTTATTATACAGATGGAGGATTTCGGTGTACTTTGTTCTGTTGATTGACTTAGTTAACCAATGATTGCAAAAAAACGCAGACAAATTTAAAAGTTCAAGAATGAGGCCTAATAGGAAGATAATCAAAATAAATTTACAGACAATGACAACAAATGTTAGCAACATTCAGTCAACACAAATGTTTAGAGAACAAGCTATCAACCATATTTAGAGAAACGTGAATATCTCACTTCCATCTGATCTCTGTAGTGATAATGTTATCCAGAAGGATAATGAAAACTTCACCAATAAACTATCCAACTCTGAAAAAAAGAATACCTATAACAGCATCAAATTGTTCGTGTAAATAATTTGATGATTATGTGATTTCCTCTCGGTGATAAAAATCAAATCACGGCGGACATTGCGTCAAACTATGTTAAAAATCCTAAAACAATGCAAGCTCCAATTTTGCAAAATCGTTTACAAAGAATATTATTATCCCAGTACTCTGAAGCCTATTAGCTTTGAGCCCCAAATTGGCAAAAGCTACCTTAAACCCACAAACACGATAATTCATTAAAACCAGTATTATTTAAGTATTTTTCACATACACATAAATTAGCATGATTGTCGAATCTTTATTGCAATACAATTGAATTACTAGGTATTATTGATGACAATAACATTATGGAGAACATATTTGACTCCCTTGATGTAAGGTAGGTTGAAGTTTCAGAATGAGCATCATTTTACGCAACACTGAAGGTACGACTCATTGACAAATGGTAACAAACAGAAAATCTATTCTTAAGTGTTCCCGCTGGCTACCTTCGACTGCCTGCAAATGACATCGAGTCATACACTAGTAACCCAAATTCAAACGGATCCACAGAATTTGATCAGTACTAAGGACTTGATATAACTGACAATGAACGCTACACAAAGATTAATCGATGATGAAGGTGACCAAAAATTATTTTATTTGTTCTTCGAAATGTTATTCCTTAAACTTATATCAGTTTATAAGCCGACTTAGTTTACTTATCACAGTAATAGAAGGAAACAGAGAAAATCTCAGTGTGATAAAATCTGTAGGTTTACCACTATTACAATCAAAAATGTCTTAAAAACTATTCAGATTCGAATAATAATAATTATCTCTAAATTATTCTGTAAGTAGTTCACAAACGGTCGACAGTGAACTTTAGGAACTTATTAATCAAGAGAATGTAAATTGTCTGTAATTCCTGATAATTATTTTCAAAATGTCACTATCCAATCAATAGAACTATGGAAATGATTTATATTCTCCACACAGAGAGAATACATGAGGTTTTGATAAACCCTCTGTGATATAAAATGTTAACAAAGTAAAAAGTTATGATAATCATTCGTAAAATAAACTAATAATTTTTCAATCCATTAAGCGAACAGTATATCTAATTATACTGTTTTATTTTAATAGCTGGTTCAATGAACGTATTAATCGAAGAAGTCATACAGTACATTAAAGCTACAGTGGAAATTTATTTTACATTAAAAGATGATGTTATGTTAAAAGATCAACAAATGATTTTATAATTTCAATAGTTGAGATCATTAGTCAATTGAAACTAGACCACCATGGAAAACCTGGAAGCACTGGACGGCCGTTTTGTCCTATTGTGGGATTCCTCAGCAGTGTGCATCCACGATCCCGCTTCACGAGGTTCTAACCCAGAACTTATCAGTCTCGCGCGCGAGCGCTCAACCTCTAGACAACTGAGTTGACATCCAACGGTGTTAATGTCTAACTTCAACCAATCCACGAAACTGAGCGACACATACACCAATGTCTCCAATGAGTTACTATCTCATTGATTTCAATATTTTATTCATGGTTTTAGACTAAGATAACAGTTTGTATGTAATATTTTTAGTGTTGGACTTGATGATTAAAAACAACTGAACAACATTGGATGGATTATTTATCATAAAAAACAATAATCTAATTTTAATAACCCAATATATAGGAAAATTAAATTTATGATGTCAAAAAAATATACAATACTTATCAGTCATTTCAAACAATTTGTTCAATAATCAATGTACTGA